ATTTTAGCAGTCCTTGGGTAGGAGCTTCAACTGTGGCAGCCATTATACTCCTAGTACTCACAACTATACAAACTATTTTAACTTTCACAGGTCCTCTTAAGAAGTAAGTTCTAGTAATTATCTCAATTGTAGTGTTTCCTCACAACTCCCTCCATGTATTTTATATGTGTGTTGATGATCTTATTATGAGTTCTTCACTAATTCTATGTCCCCCTTTTGTATTGGGATTTCTAGTTGAATGTTAATTAGTTTATTTCAAGTATCTATATTTGTCACTTTCAACCATCAAAAGGCACTAGGTAGCTCAATTCATTAATAAGAAATTCACTTGTTTTTTAGAAAAAAAAATATCATCTCTTATTGTATCAAACACACCCTAAAAGTGCTTTTCTTCAACTAAACTTCATATCAAATTTTACGAAAATCTAATGCAGATGCTTATATGCCAATGTTGATCTCCATTGGTCCTTACCATAAAAGGACTCATGAACTTAGTTCGATGGAGAAGTAAAAATTGTTGTACCTACAACAATTTCTCCGGCGAAAAGAGGGGCTTGATGTGGAAACTTGCATTAGTGCATTGGAGGAAAAGAAAGTTGAAGTACTAAGGTGTTATGATAATAACTTAGACGATGATATTGTTGGAAAATTTTCAAAAGTGTTATTGCTTGATGGTTGTTTTCCGATCGAATTTATTTGAGAGTAGAGTACTATGAAACCGAGGAAGAATAAGAACAGCAACAACAAGAAGAGGAATAAGAAGAAGAAGAGGATGAAGAAGAGGGGGAAGAAAAGGAAGAAGAAGAGAAATAAGAAGAAGAGGAGGAAGAAGAGGAGGAAGAAGAGGGGAGGATGAAGAGGAGGAAGAAGAAGAGGAGGAGGAGGAACAAGAAGAGGAAGCCAAGGAGGAAGAGGAGGAACAAGAAGAGGAAGAAAAGGAAGAGGATGAAGAGGAAGAAGAAGGAGGATGACGACAAAGAAGAAGGAGGACGACGACGAAGAAGAAGGAGAAGAAGAAGGAGGAGATGGAGGAGGAGGAGAAGAAGAAGATCATCGATGTCGAGACATGGTGTTACTAGAAAATCAACTCCTTTTATTTATGCTTATCATGCTTCATGACATGATAAAGCATTGTCAGAAGTGAGCTTCTTGTATATGGTGAGAAATACCTTACTTGATACTTTTTCAAAGGCGAAATTTATACCCTCATCTGATATTCACAATTTTAATACATAACAATTCATTCATTTAGTGCATGTATTATACATGTTTTGTCAACCATCAGAGCATGTGTCATATGTTAAAAGTTTAGTTCATCTGTGTCATTTTCATTTGAAAAAAGGCTCATTCATGTCATTATTTTTCAACTGAAATGGCATAGATAAGCCAAACTTTTAACAGATGACATAGATGATTTTTTGCTAAAGTTTGATGGCATATAATTTGAACCTTTTTCCTTTTAAAAAATAATTTAATTAATGATGTAGACAAATCATAATTGACCACGTGTAAAAAATAATTTTACAAAATTAGAATTGTTTTTAGTTAAAAAATAATGACATATATGAGCCAAACTTTTTCAAAGGAGAAATTCATACCCCCATCTGAGATTTAGAATTTTAATATAGAACAATTCATTCATTTAGTGCATGTAGTACACATGTTTTGTCAACCATCAGAGCAGTGTTATCCGTTAAAAGTTTAGCTCATCTGTGTCATTTTTATTTGAGAAAAGGTTCATCCATGTCATTATTTGTTAACTGAAATGGCATAAATAAGTCAAACTTTTAACAGTTAACATAGGTGATTTTTTTCTAAAGTTCGATGGCATATAATTTGAACCTTTTTCCTTTTTAAAAAATGATTTAATTAATGATGTAGACAAATCATAATTGATCACGTGTAAAAAATAATTTTGCAAAATTAGAATTGTTTTTAGTTAACAAATAATGACATGGATGAGCCTTTTCTCAAATGAAAATGACATATATGAGCCAAACTTTAAACGGATGACATAAAGCCTTCACTCAAAATTCGATGACATATTTGAGTTTTTTCCCTTCTCAAAATAATGTCAAGTTATACAATGGAATTGAGTTTTTCAAAAAATAAAATAAATTGAAGATCATGAGTTGTAAGTCTTTTTTTTTACTTAAAAATAAATAAACTTTTTTTCAAATATAATATATATTGCCACTACTCGTTTACTATAACATGTAATGTGAAATTATATATATAAACTTTAATTAGCATTTTAAATTTATCAGACCCAATTCATATAGTAATAAAATATATAGTACGCCACCACATGATGTTTATTTAAAAAGTTAAATTATATATATATCAACTAGCATTTTAAAATTTATTTTCTCATCAAATTAACTTTTTTAAAAAAACATCATAACTAATTTAGAGTGGAGGGAGTAACGTGAAAGATAGCTAATCCATTGACTTTGTCTCTTAATAATTATATAAAATGATGTAATTTATGGAAACGTACACTCTTATTTGCTTTGCTAATTATGATGATGTGTATGGGCTCAATATTTGTTACTCCCTCTGTTTCACAAAGAGTGACCTAGTTTGACTTGACACGGAGTTTAAGAAAATAAAGAAGACTTTTGAATCTTATGGTCATAAATTAAAGTTATGTCAAATGTACAAAATTGTCATTTAATCTTGTGGTCTTAAACATGTCACGTGGAAAGTTGAAAGTAAAATGTTACCATAAAAGGAAAGGGGCCATTCTTTTTTAAACAAACTAAAAAGGAAAGGAGGCCATTCTTTTTTAAATGGAGGGAGTACATAATTTATTTTTAAGTGGTATCAATTAAATAGCATTAAATCATCTTATTAAGTGTAGAATAAATGTTGGATAAGTATTTAGTTTTGATAAATTTAAGTGTTATTGATTAATTAATTTATTTAAATTTTTACTCTAAAATAGATTGTACTATATTTGTACGGAAGTAAGTCATCTAATTTTTTTTGCGCAAATCTAATAATGTGAAGATATCCATTAAGATGTTCATTATTAAAGTATTTTTTGTCAAAATTAGTTGATTTTATACTCAAAATAGTTATAAAATATACACAAATATTACCACATTCAAAAGAATAAAGTTATAACTAAAGAATATGAATTTAAAATTAAAGAACATAGCTAAAACTAATTATACAATAATTAAATTAAAGTAGAACAAAAGTAATAAAAAAATTTCTTTCGAAAATGCTCTTGCTGAGCAGACACGTCGACGGAGACATTTTCCCCATTATAATTATAACAATTAGTACACAATTATTCCTTGTTGACTTCTAATTTTTTTTAACACATCTGGATCTAGTTGTTATTAAATATATAACAAGTTTAATTTTTTTTTAAAAAATCTTTCCATTTTTGTACTATAAATCTGCAGCCCTTTTACTATAGAGGACAAGCAAGAGCACTAAGGAAAGAAAAAAAAACAGCTAAATTAAACCAAAAAAGTAAGTTCGCTACATGTTTCATTCTATGATTACTCAAGAATTCAATTACATTCTTTGTTATCTCAAGTTCAAAACTAAAGTTGATTATTTTTTATATGGTTACTAAGTTAATAATTATTATTTCATATAATTACTTTTTTGTTTGAAACAAATTGAAATCAAGAAAAAATATAACTTTTTGATATAATAAATATTAATTGAATGAACATATATAAATGTAACCCTCAAATAATATGTCTAATTTGAATTAATGTACTGCATTTTAAAATAATAATTCAAAGTTAGAGTAGGAGTTCGAATTTATTTCGAATTTCATATGTTAAGTCATGTCTAAATGAGATTTGTAGTCGGAATATATTGTAATAAATTTTCATTGTTAAGAACTGCAATAGCATTCAAAGATTTATGCATTTATGATAAAATATTTATTCTTCATCGTTGTTCACGTAATAACTTTAACTATAAAAATTACATAGTAAAATCATTGTCTTACTTTTTTTTAAAATTTGGTTACATGAAAGTCATTTTTAATACATTTCATCTAATAATTAACTCTTTATTTTCGAAATGTGTCTTTGGTAGGACTTACAATTGAAGGAATTAAGTTATCAAGAGGGATGGCACACTCCATTAAGATGATGTCAATAGATGACCAAATTCCACTATTTCCTCAAATTGAAATAGAAGAGGTGTCAACTATTAACTAATTTTTTATCATTTGGGTGAAAATCATTTACCATCATCAACTTTGGTTTAAAAATCCCCACCTCCCTAAATTTTGAAAATTAGTTATTCTCCCCTTTTCATTCTATGCAAAGTTTATTTTACCCTTATCATTATTAATCATCCACCATTTATGTTACATCTTTTTACATTATATATAATATTTTTATTTTTTAACCTATGTATTTATAAATTTTATTTAAGTTCATTAACATTACAATATAAGGTGAATAATCTTTTTTATAAGTTTGTAATTACAAATTTTAATGTTAATTTTTATGATTGTATTTTAAAATTACATGCATTAAGTACATACGTATATATGTATTATGTGCATGCATATGTTTTTTTATGGCAAGTAAAATTTTATTTACCTAGTGAAACGTTACAAAATAGAAAGAACAACATGTATGGACATCAGTTCCATCCTTGCTAAGACTCAATCTTCAAATCTAATTGGCTACCCTTTACATATACATATATAAAGCATGTAATAACATGACTAATAATTGTGCTTGCTAATTGCTTCTTCTGTGTAAACACCCTGCTATTACTCTCCAACCATATGTAATATAAGGAACTTTCCATTGACATTTTATACACAAGTGTTGTGCTGCCTTTACCCTTCATATGTTTAATTTTATACACCCTGCTATCTGAATTTGCTGAGCTCTATTTAACATTCTTCCCTTCCTCATTACAGCGGTATCTACAATTGGCAAATAATTTGCAGCCTTTCCAAGTAATCCTTGATAAAAATACAGTGTCTCTTCCTTAATATCTTCTTGACAATGCACAATTATAGATGCAGCAGTAGTTGGCATGTGAAGCATCTGGTCAGCATTTACTATAGCCCTATGCCCCTATCAATCCTGCCCCAAATGTGTCCATTTGTCCAAGTGTATGAGCCACCAACTGTTGTCATCTCATTCATCCCATTTAAATTTTCCTCATCTCTTAGCATAATACATTATATTAACGTGCAATAGAGAACATTTGAAAAATCCCTTAAATCATTGCTCTAACTCTTCAACGTGTTTCAAGAGCTTTCAACATTAATATATATCGGTACAAAAATCAAAATTTGACTTATCTGTAATTTTTCGACGAAGGTGTGGTTCTTGAAAATCGTTGGAAAAGGGTAGCGCTATCCCTGCTAACACATTTACTAATCACGACTTTACACCTACATGCAGTGCATAAGACAAGACCAAACTATATCTCAAGTCATTTTTGATATTGACAAGTTTGTGGGATCATAGAATCTTAACAATTTTTACAATATTCATTTTGTGAATGTGTTATAGTTTAATAGAAACAAACTATATTCCTTTTTGATCTAATATGAATACTTTTCATTAGTTACAGATAGAAGATGGAGGTGAAGTGAATTGTTCAATTGAAATAGACCAAACAATTAATGGTGAAGATCCATTAGGGTTGCAAAAAAAGAAATCTCTAAATGAAAGATGTATGAATTTGGAAAAGTCGTCTATGGAATCCACTACCATATTCAAGGTGACTGTGGGGTTGAGTGAATCAAATCCTGATGCTTATAAGCCAAAATTGCTCTCCATTGGTCCTTACCATAAACACGATTCTAAACTTGGCTCGATGGAAAAATACAAGTTGTGTTACCTACAACGGTTTCTCAAGCGGAAAGGAGGGTTTCATGATGTGGAAAGTTGTATTAGTGAAATGGATAAACTAAAAGATGATGCACTTAAGTGTTATGATGATATAGGGGGGTTAATAGATAGTTGCAATATTGTTGAAAATTTTTCAGAAATGTTGTTGCTTGATGGATGTTTCGTGGTTGAGTATCTTCGAGAGCAATGTAAGATCCTTCGAACTGGAGAAGACATGATTATCAATAGAGATTGCATAAGAAATCAACTAAAGCGAGACTTGTTGCTGGTAGAAAATCAACTTCCTTTCTTTGTCCTAACCAAGCTTTATGAAATGTCAAAGGAGCAATGCGAGGAACCATTGATAGAGATGGTGGAGTGGACCTTTTCTCTTGATAAATCATCTATAGAGTCTGAAGGTAATGAAAGAAAATTCAAACATTTATTTCATGTAGTACACATGTGCATGTCACGTCGACCTTCAAAGATAAAAAGTAGCAATATAGCAGAACAAATTATCGTTTTTGGAAGCTTATTTGGGATCCCTTCACAAATAAAGAAGAGGAGGAATAATACGGACCAGAACATAATGTGGAATAAGGTCATGCCAAATGCAACAGAACTTTCTGAAGCTGGAGTTAGCTTTGCAAATGTTGGAAATATTTTTGTGAGGTCATTAGACAACGTCAATGACAATGATCTTAAGGATAGCACAAGTTTATTTGATATAAAGTTTGACAATGCATTGATGACAATCCCTTGTTTTCGAGTCGTTGATGACACAGAAACCTTCATGCGAAATCTTATTGCTTACGAACAACAGTGTTCTGATGTAAATCATAGATATTTCAGTGATTTTGCAGTTTTCATGAGTTGTCTTATTGACTCAGAAAAAGATGTGAGTTTGCTTCGTATGAATGGAATCATTGTAAACAAGATAGGAAAGGACAAAGAAATGGCTAGCTTCTTTAACAAAATTGGGAAAGGGGTCACCGTTTCAGACGACTTCTATTATGAAGAAGAATGCAAAAAAGCCGTTCAACATTGTGAACAATCATGGAACATAATGAAGGCAAATTTGAGGCACAATTACTTCAATAGTCCTTGGGTAGGAATTTCAACTGTGGCAGCCATCATACTCCTCTTACTCACAGCTACACAGACTGTTCTAGCTATCATAAGTTTTTTGAAGTAGTTGCTTTAATTATGTGTCATTGTTGGTTTGTTAAGTTAATCCATTGCTAGTACAAATAAATAGGGGGACAATGGATCCCCTTGTCTTACTCCTCTCCTTGTTTTAAAAGGTGTTGTACTATGTCCATTAATCTAAATGGAGTATATGACTATTGTAACACGTTGCATTATCCACTTAGTGACTCTAGGTGGCATTTTGAGTTCCTCTTGTATCTGCTCCAAAAAAGTCCATTCCAGAGAATCATAGCCTTTTTTTCATGTCAATTTTCAACATACACCTTTTAGAAATCTCGTCTCACATATCCTTTTACAATTTCATGACTCAGTATCACATTGTCATTCAAAACCCTTCCTGGTAAATGTTGATTGATTAGGATCCACAAGACTCTCCATGACCAGTTTAAACCTAGCAGTGATTACTTTAGCTATAACTTTGTATATTGTTGCGCAACATGAAAATGATCTGTTTTCACTTATTCTAGCTTGGTTTTCCACCTTAGGTATAAGTGTTACTGTCACGCCCCGAGCCTACACCCTGGGCGGGACCGGCACCCGGAGACTATTTCTGGCCCTAAGCGAACCCTTGGCCTGGCTTTCTTAACTCAGCGGAAACCTCAACAGAATAACTCAATGCAATGCAACATTTCAAAACAACTTAACTTATAAAATATGGCCATAAAGGCAACTCGAATCTCAAAATAGAATATTTACATATATATATAGATGAGAGACTCAAAACTAACTGACTGACGGTCTGTCTATGAAGCCTCTAAAAATACTGAGATGGATGTTAGGACAGACCCCGCAACATCCCAATAAAAACAAAGAACACCAAAATAATCGAGTCCTCCGGAATGCAAGGAGGCTCACCACTGACTCTGGAGTGCTCAGCTGGATCAACGACGTGCAGGATGCTGATCTGGTGGTACCTGAATCTGCATCATCAAACGATGCAGGCCAACTGGCATCAGTACATGGAATGTACGAGTATGCGAGCTGGAAAACTAAGCAACAAAGGCTAGAAGGAAAAATCTGGAAGAAACTGAATAGCTTACCTGGCTCAACTCAACTCAACCTGACTGACTTATTTCAATATAAGGCAAATTTTAAAACAAGTGCGATATAAAGAAAGACTGTTTAAAACATGCTATAAACTCTGTATGTATACAAAGATACAATAAGCCTGAAATGTATATAGAAATACAATGAACTGATGTATATAAAAATACAATAATCTCTGCATATGAAAATATAATAACTGCTGTGAGAGCCTCTCTAACCGACAACCATCACATAAGAGCTATAGTGATGATACAGCGATCTACCTCACGCTGCCAGAGCATCTTATACCCGGCCAAAAGTATAAGACCTGAACTGCCTAATGGATCCACTAGTCTAATATGAAAAGGATTCATCTAAAAAGTATGATCCTTTTCTTCCCATGGTGGCTAACATGGTTCTATGGGGGCTGTGGGTTCTTTGAACGCTCCCCCAATTCGGTGCTCGATACTACTCCCAAAAATATACTGGCTCTTATGTTTTTAAAACATATTTATTCCTACTGATATGAGATACTTACTCAAAACTAGCCCGAAGGCCCCTTTGGAAATCTCAGTTTCCAACCTTATTCAAATGTAAAGACATTTCTTTAAAACTTCTTTGGGAATACATAGTTCCCTAATAACTTTGAGAAATGAACTCAACTTTAAACTCCTGACTTAACTTGAAACTGAGACTCTTACTCGACTTGAAACTCTATACTCTTTTTCTTGACTTCTAACTTCACTTGACTTGGAACTATCTTTCCTTGAATCGGAATTATGAATTCAAGGTGTTCGATCACATGTTATGGAGGGATTCTTGAACGCTTAGGCGTACCTTGGAGTGTCGGAAACAACTGTAAAACATAGGTATAATACTTTGAAACATGCATGAGAAAGTGAGAAAAGGAATGGGGAAATTTGACTGAGACTTCAGATTTCTGGTGACACAGATGGCACCTACGGACGCCATCGACGGACCGTAGATGGACTTACGGTCCGTCCTGCAGGTCCGTAGATCGCGTCAGAAACTTCCCCAGAATTCATTTTAAAAAAATGACTAAGTGTTGACCTACGGTCCGGACTTACGGTCCGTAGGTCAGGTTACGGACCGTAGGTCGTGCCCGTAGATCGATGCCCAAGAACCCATCTTCTATCCCGATTGACAGTTGACCAGTACGGACCGTCAATCGATCTACGGTCCGTAGGTCACGTCCGTAGATCGGGATCGACAGCCAAAACTTTCTGGGAATTGATGGTGATTCAACTTCAAAAGGGTCACAACTCTTAGAATCATAATTCCCTCAATCATACAATAGGTTTCAACTTAAATACACAACTTAATCATGTCTCACAACGAACAATAACTTCAACAACACCACCAACAACATCAACAACAACTAACAACTTCAACACTTCAACAACAATTCCAATCTTTTCTCAAATCATAGAATAAACTTAGTGTGTGGGAGGGAAAGGATCAACCCACACGAAAACTCACATACCTTCATAGGGATCACCCCCGACGAAAATCCACAATGATCTTGTTGATCTCCTCTTTCTTCTCTTCTTCTTCTTCTCCCTCTTCTCTTCTTCAATCTCAAGAACCCTAACTCTTTTTCTTTCAAAATGGGGAAAAATGGTCCAAAGATCAGCCTAATACAACATTATGAGCTCAAAAGAAATGATTTGTGAAAAGACCAAAATGCCCTTAATTTTCCGGACGGATTTCCCTTCCAACTGCCCAACTTCTAAAGGGCATAACTACCTCATACAAACTCGGATTCGATCAAACTCGGTGGCGTTGGAAAGATCGTTCCACGAGCTTCGCAACCATAACTGGAAATACTCCTAACTCATCCTGAGATAGGAGTTACGACTACTCAAAGTTGGCCAAAACTCACTGATTTCCACACTTAGCCAAATTTCCAGATTTTTTTCAAATTTTCCAAACAAAATGACTATTTCCAAATTTCAAGCTCCTTCAAAGCCACTTAAATTGTCGGATGTTACAGTTACAACAGTACAATTAATAGGTTGGAACATCTCACCAGTGTCAACGAAATTTAAGACTGCTTGTGTAAGCTCCTCCCCCACTATTGACCATTCTCTTTTGTAAAACACAACATTTAATCCATCTTGTCACAGATGCTTCCACTTCATTCCTTGTTACTGGAGCTGCTATCTGAATTTGTTGAGCTCTATTTAGCATTCTTCACCTTCTCATTACAGCGGTATCTACATTTGGCAAATAATTTGCAGCCTTTCCAAGTAATCCTTGATAAAAATACAGTGTCTCTTCCTCAATATCTTCTTGAGAATGCACAATTATAGATTCAGCAGTAGTGAGGCTTGTGATAGTATTCTGGTCCACTCTATTACTCATATGAGCAAAGAAGTATCATATATTAGCATCACCTAGGTTCAACTATTGCACCCTGGACTTTTGTCTCATAGCACTTTCCTCAACCGAATTCCACTTCTCCAGTTGTTTCCTCAGTTCCTTTTCTTGCTCCCTAGTAGCATGCACCATTTTATGGTCTAGCATATTACTTGGTGAAGTTGCTCTCTGTTTTTCCGGATTTTGTCCTTCACCCCTCTGAACACAGAATTGTTTATCTCTATCAGTACATAATTCATATTTTGAGCTTCCACCAGTCCAGTGCCAGACACAAATGGGAGTGATCAGACATTCCGGATCTTAATATCTTTACCTCTATTGTTGGCATGTGAAGCATCTGGTCAGCATTTATTATAGCCCTATGCCCCTATCAATCCTGCCCCAAATGTGTCCATTTGTCCAAGTGTATGAGCCACCAACTGTTGTCATCTCATTCATCCCATTTAAATTTTCCTTATTAACGTGCAATAGAGAGCATTTGCAAAATCTCTTAAATCATTGCTCTAAATCTTCAACGTGTTTCAAGAGGTTTCAACATTCATATTATACAATGTAATTTTCTGACGAAGGTGTAATTCTTGAAAATCGTTGGAAAAGGGTAGCTCTATCCCTGCTAACACATTTACTAATCATGACTTTACACCTACATGCAATGCATAAGACAAGACCAAACCATCTCAAGTCATTTTTGATATTGACAAGTTTGTGGGATCATAGAATCTTAACAATTTTTACAATATTCATTTTGTGAATGTGTTACAGTTTAATAGAAACAAACTATATATATTCCTTTCTGATCTAATATGAATATTTTTCATTAGCTACAGATAGAAGAAGGAGGTGAAGTGAATTGTTCAATTGAAATAGACCAAACAAATAATGGTGAAGATCCATAGGGCTGAAAACAAAGAAATCTCTAAATGAAAGATGTAAGAATTTGGACAAGTCGTCTATGGAATCCACTACCATATTCAAGGTGATTGTGGGGCTGAGTGAATCAAATCCTGATGCTTATAAGCCAAAATTGCTCTCCATTGGTCCTTACCATAAACACGATTCTAAACTTGGCTCGATGGAAAAATACAAGTTGTGTTACCTACAATGGTTTCTCAAGCGGAAATGAGGGTTGCATGATGTGGAAAGCTGTATTAGTGAAATGGATAAACTAAAAGATGATGCACTTAAGTGTTATGATGATATATGGGGGTTAATAGATAGTTGCAATATTGTTGAAAATTTTCAGAAATGTTGTTGCTTGATGGATGTTTCGTGGTTGAGTATCTTCGAGAGTTTAGACCTTATTTACTACTTAGTTGATATTTTTTTTTTCTTCAACTTTTTTTTGTGTGAAATTATAATTTGATTTATTTACTTGCAGAATGATAAAATCCAGCCTTCTCTAGTCATACTTTATTTTGGTGGAAATGCCCTATTGATGAATATGTTGAAAACATGAGAAAAATTATACTTCATATCAAGGTAAAAAAAAACACAACATCAACAACTATTTATTATTATTATTATTAGACTTTTAACAAACGAGAAAATAAAACAAGAATT